ACGCCGCCGAGCGGTGTCTGAGCAAAGAAGCTAGACAAAGGAGCGAAAAAGCCCCCCCCTCCCCTGAGCGGACCATTGCCTCCAGTCAGTCTGCAAAAGCCGTTTCCATGAGCAGGGCCAGGCTGTGACTTTGCTCAGTTCCATGGAGCCTGCCTATAGGGGAAAGAGGAGGCATAGCTGCACTGAATCTGTTTCTCTATGGCTCAACACTGATTTCCCTCTATTCTCCCTGGAGAAATCATATTGCTGCAGTTGTTCTTGGTCCCTTCTGGTAGGTATCCTCTTATCTGACCCAATATAGGTGTGTGGCAAAAAGGAGGAAAAGTCAAGTTTAGTTTTGTTCCATTCTCTACATGGACTGTGTTGGAAGCACTCACCTGCAGAAGCCATTTGAAAGCTTGAAAATAATGAAATAAGAATATATGGCCAGTATATTTTTTTCTAAAATAAAGTATTACAAGTATTATCTTTGTTCTTTCTATGTAGTGTTTGGCAGAATCTTCCTTTGTTTTATCTTATAGCAATAATGTTAATGACATTCTCACAATAAATGATTTTTGCAAATATCAAATGCTGAGGCATTTACTCACCTACAAACTCTCTGTTGTCTCAATTTCTTTGTCATGGACATCAGTCTTGAAATAAGAGTGTCTACACAAGTGGGTTGCACTGATTTAACTATATCTCTTTCTAATCCAGTTTAGCTAAACTGCTACTACTTTTTCAGGAAGACAAAGCCATTTTTAAAGGTTGTGTGAATTAGTACTAGTACTGACAGCCTTGGAAAATGAAGCCTTCTCTTACCCTCAGAACATGCACAGCACAGTCAATGATAGTGCTAATTTCCCCACATTGTCTTGCCTATAATCTCATCCTTAAACTGGAACTACGCCTCTAATGGTCAGAAGACAATGCAGTTTCGGTCCTTTGCCTCTCTGCTAAGCATGCCCACCAGGGTACCAATTGTGTTGATAGTTTCTGTGATGTAGACACTTGTCCATTAGAACTCAGAATTAAGACTGCCAAACTCATTTCCCATAAGACACCAAACAGTCAATACATAGTAACAACTTTTGTTCATTGTGAACCATGTTCTGGGTTTTATTTGGCAAACTAGAATTGAAAAACGCAATGCTATGAGATCTCCAGTTCTTCATTAAACCAGTTTTATTGCAACAATCTCACATTCAACATATTTCTAACACACCACATTCTACTTATGTATTGTAAAGATATGTACCATAGACAGACAATCAGTACCTTTCTACATATAATTACTTCTATATATAATTACAACAACAAAAAAAGGTGGGAGGGAGCTAAATAAAGTGGTACTGGACATGTTGCCAGCCCATCACCCTAATCATTCTGCTTGTATATCACATCCATTTCCCTTCCACCTGTGGACAAAAGACACCCTCTGTCTTCTCTATTTAGGCTGTAAACTCTGTGATGTAGGGACTGACTTTTATTCACCTTTGCACAGTGCCAAGCACAGTTAGGTCCCAATCTTGACTGAGACCTCTAGGCACTACTCAGAATATAAACAATAATCAGAATTTATGTGGAGCACAAATAATGTGAATTTCTAACATTCAAATGTGAAAAGTTCATCCAATTTTTAAAATGTACCATATGCACAAATGCTACTTTCATTTTTAACCACTGAAGTCTGCAGATGATAGTGCACACAAGAAACTACAGTAACCTGTCATACAGTTGTCCTTTTCTTTGGCACCCCTAGATAGATGAGTGCTAATAGAAAGGCTGACAATAGAAGTGCATTTATGATGCAAAACACCAAGGACAAGATGAACTGTCAAACCTTTAAGAAAAGAATGGCGCTCTTTTGTTGTGGAAATGAAGCTGTGATAATGTTCCCAGGCTATAAACTGGCAGACTGAAATGGCACACACCAGAGGAGCTTTTTCAAATTCTTTATCTATGTCAGCAGATTTTGCCCCTCCCTCGTGGTTTTAGCTAAGAAAAAAATGTTAAAGTTTCTGTGAACAGTTTGTTACTAGTATATAGCTCTTAGCAACAAGGTTAGAGAATATAAAGACAAACATTTTATTGTCCATTCCACAAGCACGTTAACTCTATTACTGAGAGAAAAATATACAGACTGTGGGGTGTTCTGTTTCTAGTAGCTTAAGCTACATTTAGAAATGAATTTCTGCACAAAGCCATGTTTGGGCAAGAATACTTTCTGTTTTTATATGGCTTTGGACTTATACCAGTGGGACTATTCATGGAGTAATGGTGGCTGAATCAGGCCCATTGGTAGCATCTTCCATCCAAGGATCCCAAAGTACCTTACTATTATTATTTATGTCATAGTGGCACCTAGAGGTACGGATTGAGACTGGGGCTCTGCACAAATATATCATGAGAGATAGTCCAGTCCTGGAGAGTTCACAATCAACATAGACTAGGCAGACAAAGGGTTGTGATGGATTCTCCATCACTGGCAATTTTTAAACCAAGATTGGATATTTTTTGGTAAAAATGCTCTAATTCAAAAAGAATTATGTAGAGTTCTGTGGCCTGTGTTTCACAGGAGATCAGACTAGATGATCCCAATGGCCTCTTCTACTCTTGGAATCTATGAAAGGATGAGAGAGGAAACAGAGAGATGATGTGACTTGCCCAAGGTCACACAATAAATCAGCAGCAGAAGTGAGATTAGAACCAAGATGTCTTGGTCCAGTGTCCTCTCCACTAGGCAATGCTGCAGTGAAATAAACCTTCCACTATCCCTATGAAGTACTTAATATTCTTATCCTGTTTTCTAAAAATAAAACTGAGCCACAAACAAGTTAAGTAATTGCTCAACAAGTCCCTGCAAGAGCTGGGCATAGAGCCCAGGAATGTTTGGTGCCCAGTTGCCTGCTCTAACTATTAAGTATTCTTTAAAAAATTGCTGAATTGGAAAGTATTTTTGAATACAATAAATACAACAGTACTTTCACTGCTAAAAACTTCTGACCAAATTCAGCTGTGGCATTAGAGTCACAACCCCTAATGCTGATGGGCTGAATTTGGCATCTCTTCTCTCCAACAAGTTCTTTATTCTGCAAAGTCCAATGTATATTAAAATTGTTCCAGAGAATTTTCAGCACTCACGTGTACCTATCTTACAGACTACACTGTGATCCTGTACATATCTGCATGCATTTGAGGACAGGATCAAGCCCTTATTTGCTATTGGGATGCAGAGGTAACTAGTTTGCAGTGGTCCAACATTGCCAGTTGAAGTGCAGAATATCTCCATCGTGCATTTCTGCTGTTGGTGGAGCTTGTACAGTTATTGTCAGTCATGCTTTATAGATACAATAAACACAAAGAAAAACCACCCTATATAGCACAGTAGCAATTTCATTCTTGTACCATGATGCATCTGAGCTCTGAATCTATTGGACATTCAAGATGAAAATATAAACGGTGTAACATTATACTGCAGTATTTTTCCAATCTTCAGACCATGAATATTCACATTCTTCACATGAAACTGTTGTTGCTGCATTTGCAACATTTATTGTCTCTGATGCTTTTCCTATTCAATAAGAAATATATTGCAATTTAATCATTACATTCTGATACCACTGGGCTACTGCCCTTCACATCTGTTATCACTACATATGAACTGCGTTACAAAAACTATTGAAAATTTTCTTATCTTCTGCCCTTGAATGCTCCCATTCTTGACATTGCTGATGTTTAATTTAGACACTGCATGTTCTGACTACCAGCACACGTTCTAATCCAGTTTTCTATCTGATTTTCCAGACCTTTAAAAACCTACATAAATGAAAGTTTCCTCATTTATATCCAGCAGCAGCACGGCTCAAGATCAGGCAAAACAACTGGGAATGATTTTTGTCTTTATGTTATGAATGAAGCTTCAGGCTTTTTTCTCCTGCTTCCCCCTCCCCCCGTCGTTATTAAACCAAACCAGATATGTTCCATTTCTCCAATATTCTGTTCTTTCATTCCATACACGGCTTGCTCTAGGAAAGAAAAAGACAGTGCTTGTCTTTACTGAACAGCAAAAACACTTGGCTTCAGTGAGAAAGGGCTTGCTTCATTCAATTAGAACGTTTAAAGCAATACTTTTATAAACATACCTATGAATCGAGCGGGGTTAGATTATACTGATCTCAGCTACGGCGGAGAAAGAGTTTAGCAGGAGATTCAGTGCACTACAATCTGCACAACTGCGGTGTCAGGCCTAGTGAACCTGCGTTGTGAAGAGGCAAGAGAAGGATTTCAGTGTAAAACGGTCGCCCTGTCCCGTTATTTCCCGCAAGGGAGATCTCGGAGCAGAAGCCTGTGGATTCAAGCTTCACATCTTAAAACTTTCGCAGCCACATGGCTGCTGAGTTTTCAAGGGGCATCCCCGCTTCACTTGCTTGTTCTAAGTCTCGCCCGGCGGGGGAGGGAGGGTGTCCCTCCATCCATCCAGCGGGGGTGAATGGTAAGTCAGGGGTGAATGCAGCGCCCTCTCGCAGGGAAGGGGGGTAGCTGGGATCGCTGCAGGGAGACACGTACCGTCTCCGCCCCTTCGAGTTATGCCATCAGCCTGAGCCCCCCGAACGAGTGTCTCCTTCAGGGGCTGCGGGAGGGGAGATGCCCTTCCACACCCCCAGCCCCAGGCCGGCGTCTCCGTGGTGTGGAAGGGGGAGATGGCTCGTGGTGGGGATGTTCCCCGGCCGCACGTGGGAGCCTGCACAGTCCCAACTCCAGGGCTGGGGGGAACAAAGGCAGCAGGGGGAGTAGGCGGGAAGCGCGGGGCTGGTAGCCCCGCAGCCGGCAGGGGCCGCCGGGGCGCGGGCGTCCCTAGGGCCAGGGCCTGGCTCCGCGCGGAGCTGGTGAGAGCTCGCAGGGAGGGAGCGCCCGTGGGCCGGGCGTGGCAGGGGACTGGGCAGCCCCAGGCAGCGCTGTGTGGCTGGGGGCCGGGGCGCTGCAGCATGTGAGGCTGGGGGCGGGGGCAGGCTCCGTGTAACGCACATGCCCTGTGTGACGGGGCGCTGCTCGGCAGGACGGAGGGGCGCCCGTATGGTGGGCACGTTGTGTATGGGGCACGAACAGCAGAGCACATTGCACAGTGCGTAACTGCGGGGACAGCGGGCAGCCTGCCGATGGGGAGACTCGCGGCGTGATACCCCCGGTGGACCCAGAGACTTTCGGGCAGCTAAGACTTAGCTTCACTGAGCGCGCCCCCGGAGCTAGCCTAGCTGGAGTGCGAGCGCCCCCGCTGTGAACCAACCTGGGAGCCGCACACAGCGACTAGCTTAGCAGCTGGGGACTTGTTGCATCCCCGCTGCTTTAGTTTCTGCGGCGCTGGCTTCCACCCACGCCTGCTAGCTCCGGCTTAAAGCACCGCTTCACTCCCGCTAGAGATTTTTGTGTATGGACGGAGTCGGGTTAGGGGTAAAGCTGGGGTGACAGCTCAAGCGAACAACGCAGTGAAGATAAGAGAGTATTATGCTGGATGGAATAACTCGTAGTATGTGTAGAAGGAAGATATGTCTTACTGCACATCATTAATTATAGCTCCCTCCTGATCAGCCAGTCCTTCAGGGTTCCCCACCATTCTGAAGGAATGCTTTGTAATGATAAAAAGGGTTTTCTTAGGATTTGAGGCTAATGCTGTTGGAATATTTAATTAAAATCCCTTTAATTTAGGGTTGTTTTTGCCTTGTCTCCAGTTGATCAGAGAAAACCAATTTGGAGTGTTATTACAATTTTTATTCAAGAGCACAAGCAACCACAAAATTAGATTATTTCTTATATTTCCCTAAAGTATTAAATAATATGGTAATAAATATTGCTATGACAATAATTGTCAAGTCAAGGAGTTAACAATAATACAATTTAAAATTGGTTAACTATAAAAAGAACAGCATCAGACCAACAATTGGCCAAGTTATTGCATAAGCATAATCAGTAATCAAATTACAAAGTTAACATAATACCAATGACTTATTAAATTAATTTTTTTATCCCAATGCAATTTACTTAGCAGCTTATACTTTCCCATGTGTAAAGAATAGGTTAAAGTTTAAATCTTTATGTATGCCCGGTGACTCTTAGAAATCTGTAATGAGATTTGCCTCGAAGCTAGTTTAATCAGTACCTAATGGTAACTTACCCTATGAGTTTATATATGCACATGCTATTACTATTAATGGCCACACACGCACACACCTCCACACCTAAAATTGTTAGGACACATCTTGCCTGGCAGGGGTCCATTCACTGGTGTTTAAATGTCCTTTGAAAGAGACAAAAATGATATAAAGAACAAGTATCTGTTCTTTAGCTGGCTTGTATGTAGATATTCAGAATCAGTTGGGAACTGCACCTTGGGGAACCAGGTAATGTCTACTGGCTCAGGTACTATCTCGCTAACAAGCATCATTCTTGGGTCAGCAGGCTGGTCTGTGATGTCTTTGTCTCTACTTTCCTTGGGAGAGGAAGTAGGAATATCAGCCATCGAGTTGTCATTGTGGTGACTTCGAGAGGAGCACACTTCTTCCTCATTTATCTGGTCTTTTATGGCTGAAACTCAGGCTGGCATCATCCCACTGGGCTTTGCCTTACGACTTTCTGATCCAGTTGGGGAATCACAGGTTTCTCACCCCAACTGCATTGTCCAATCCTGAATAGATGTTGTCTGTCTGACTCTTGGTCCATTTTTGGGGTTCTCCTTTTAGGTTACTGTTTCTTAGTCATGTCTGTGAGTGTGTCCCCCCCCCCCCCAAATAAGCAACATTGAAGGAATAACAGGAGATTATGACTTTATCAGTGTCATCTACTTGTATTTAGGTGAACAACTGAGACTCTTCAGTGGCCTCTTGACTATTGGGTTTTGTTGTCTTCCTGGTCATTCTTATGATCCATTGTTCTCTGATTTACAAAACTACAAAAGTAGTTCCTTGCCCATTCACACATCTCACACTTCCTCTAGACAGGCAAGCTTTTGGAAACAAAATAAGAATTTGTGACATCATCATCACATCTGGGATACTGGGTAAAAGGTTATTTCGCTCTATGGCTCAAAATCAAGCTGCTTTAAAGCTTCTTATTAAATCCATTAACAAAGTTTTTAGAAGTATGCCCCATTCAAATTTATACTCGATGTCTACACGACTATATGTGTATATGTCCTACATCATTTTTTTGTGGACTCAGTTTTCTTTTCCATCCATCTCGACTCCCAGCACTTAGTTGAAAAGCATTAAGCAGGACTCATGACTCATAAAATATTTTCTCCTTAATCACTAATAGTCATAAACATGATTCTCTCTCAATCCTCATTAGGCATTTTATTTAGCTCCTGGTCCTATTTTTTTCTCAGTCCATCTATTTAAGAGACAGTAGTGCACGTAGAAGGTGCACGAATGATTGCACTGAAAACCACTTTTGCTAGGGAACACAGTGTAGGGAATGACTGAGCACCTTTCCATACACTGTCCCTGCAGTATATCTCCACCCTCATCTTTCATTTTAATAAGATTTTAGAAAATAAAACTTGTTCAGAAGGTTTCATATTTTATAGATGTTGAAGCACTTATTCAAACTATAGTTTTATTAAAATATTTAATGCACTAGTGTTAAGCATTAATAATATTCAGCATATTAATGTAGCACTTTATGCTGTGGTGGCATTAATAAAGAAAAACATGAGAGTTAGGCGAGATCTTTGTTTCAAAATTACATAATATCCGATTTTCTCTTCAGCAAAACTCAAATACCCAAGACAGTATTGACATTCTATATATACTTTTTTTTTTAATGGTGAATGTAATCGACATTTATAACTTCTTACTTTCAGTTACAGAATTAATGATATTGCAAAAACAAAGCTAAAATTGTTTTTCAATTATTTATCCTGGATAATTTGTGGATATAGACATTAGAACATAATAAGAACATATGAACGGCTGTACCGGGTTAGAACAAAGGTCCATCTAGCCCAGTATCCTGTCTACCGACAGTGGCCAATGCCAGGTGCCCCAGAGGGAGTGGACCAACAGGCAATGATCAAG